AAAAAAAAAGTGATCATCACAAAGTTCACAGGATACTGAATAAAGTGGCTGTCCATCAATAGGAGATGGGTTCAATAAATTATTTTCAGTGAATATGAACAAGTAAGATGTTTTAACGGAACCACTGAAAACATGATATTGATCCTGACTTACTGACATGTTTTGCTTATTCATTCAATATTGTGTGTAAGTGTGTGTGTGTGCATGCCACAGGACAACTTTTGGGAGCTGGTTTTCCTTCCACTGAACTCAGGTTTTCAGGTATCTCACTGTTCATCTCACTGATCCATAAGCTGTTTTAAGAACAAAGAAAAATCTATACAGAGTACATACGTGCTTTTTCAGAGTACTAGAACACACATACACAGGAAGATACGAACACACCAGGTATTTCCCGGGTAACAAAAGAGAAGAATCTTCACTTTTTTAAAACACTATGCTTTATTATATGATTTGTTTTACAATGGGCAATGAAAAGCTGCCTTAGAAACAAACTTTTAAAAACAGATGGACACATAATTATAAACACATACAAGGCAGTGTTCTTCAATACATGCATACAGTGTGCAGTGCTCGGACCAGACAAACCGTCATATCCATCACCTCAGACACTTAGACACTTACCATTTCTTTGTGTTGCAAACACAAAATCCAATCTAGCTATTTAAAACAAGCCCTAAATCCTTAGTTACCCTCTTTGCTGCAGAGCCCTGGGACTTACTCCACCTAGCTACAGCTTTACCCTGTTACCACTTTCTCTCCATTCCCTCTCCTCTCCCCATTCTACTCTCTTGCTCCAGAGGGTCAATGTATTTAGCTACAGAAAAGAGCGTGCAGCATTTGTCTTTCTATGCCTGGCTCATAACACACAATATGCCCTTCAAACTCAGTTTTTGATGCACATGACAGGATTTCTTACTTTATACGGCTGAATACTATTCCATTGTGAGTATGTACTACATTTTTTTCTCTATCCATCCACCCCAACCACTGATGGACACTGAGACTGATTCTGGAGCTTGTCTACAGTGAATAGTGCTGCAACACACAGGAATGTAGGTATCTCTTTGACACACTGATATGCCTTCCTTCAGATACAGTCCCAGAAGCAGGACTGCTGGGTCGCACACTATTCCTAACTAGTGTTTTGGGGAACCTTGATCCTGTTTTCTAGAACAACTACACTAAAACTAACTTCCTAGGGAGCACATTTAATTCACTTTTTTTTTTAAGTACCATAATTTGTGAATTCTGTGAAGTCTTAAAACTATCCCTAACCAACCAGAAATATCCACACGGGTTTCCAGTGACATAATCAGTGAAGCACAGATACACAGCTTCAAGAGGTTGGTGTCTCAAAGAGCCTTACACACTGGCACTTCCAGCATCACAGCTGTTAGAACTGGTTACCTGTCTCTTGGGGAACCAGAGGAAAAACTAGATGTGGAGAACTGGGAGATCACTATCCTGAGAATCAGATCAGAACACAAAGATGGGAAATCAGGCTGTGACACCAGTGGTCAATGACAAGAGTCAAGAACCAAAACAGAGCTGAGGTAACTTGTCAGTGAGTGGGGAAGGCATGGCCGAGTCTACACATGTACAAGGTCATGGGACAACATAGAGTAACTTCAGCAATGAGGTAGCAGGACACCTTCACATCATAAACGAGATTAGTCGTCCAGGAAGCCCGCCCTGCAGCTGGCCCATGCTGGGCCATCAACACCAGCAGTGGCACCAAAAGGCTACAGCCCACAGATGGATAATATCACAGAAAGTTGACCCACTGAGCACGGAAGTTAGTTTTCAGTTACTTATATGCATTGGTTAACATTTAATCTGTGTGGCTCAACTGTAATGCAGTTTAGTTCCTTAATGAACTTGTTTCTGGAGTTTCAAAGTATATCATTACAATACCTTTTAAGGACAAATATGAGGGCTTATCTGCATAGAACAAAACATTCCTTTTACAATGAACTAAGTCAAAAGAGAAAGGTACTCACCATGGTATCCCTCAGCACACATTGGAATCTACAGAGAGCTTTAAAAATAAAGTAGGGGCTGGAGAGATGGCTCTGTGGTTAAGAACACCGGCTGCTCCTGCAGAGAACCCAGGATCAATT